CAAAGCCTTTATTTAACTATTCACGTAGCATATTCAGTGCTGTACTAAAGGGTAAAACACTGCAATTGTATTGTTCTATAGATATGCACATAGCATTAATGAACAACAGCAAACTTAACCTTAATGCTCGATATTTTAAATAACTGATAGATGGGGGAAGGTACAAAAAATCATAAATTTCTCTATTTTTCTGATGAGGTTGAATAATAAATTCTAGAAATTAATGCGGTTTCAATGTTTGTTGAACGAGTAGGTCATAATCCCAAGTGGTAAATCTGTAAAATAGTGTAAATATTTTATTCTCAATTTTCATCGTATTTTATCTACTACTAGTGTATGTAAAGACTGTGCCCTTTACAAAGCTTTGGACTATGTTTGTTTAAGAAAGGATTTTATGTTTGGCATAGCCAAATGGACTTTGTGCACGATTTACAAAAAAATTTTTGAAATTACTTAATGTGCTACTAGTGTATCGCTTCGACTTACTTAGAAAATTTTCTGCAATCATTTCCCAATCTCTGATTGGACCACATGATCTCCCGCCCACTTCTGCTAATTCTGTTAGAATTAACTACTCAAATGCTAATTTCTACTTGTACTAATTAACTCGAGTTTTACTTTACTCCCTCAGACGAACTGTTAACAATTTTTATATATAATATTTTGAAAATTAGTTATTATTTTCGATTAATGTGATCTTATGCAAATGCAAGTTCAGACCAATGATATTGCGACGCTCAGTCACGTGATTTGTAATTTCTCTCTCGTATCGGCTGCTCAGTTAGGTACTCTCAATTAGCCAACTCATGCATTGCTCCTAGTACCTACTCAAGCATTTCTGCAAAACTTAATTCAAGTTTAATCTGCATAAAAGTTGATTTTGGACTTAGCTCAACTTACTGCCCTGCCGGATGACTTGCCACTTAGACCATTTTTGCCTTTGGGCGCGCTGCTCATGCATCCCTGATTTAAATAAAAAATTTATGAGCGGCTAATGGCCTACCTGAGATATTAGTAAAAATTCTTAGTAGTTGGAACTAAAAATGAAACTGACAATTCAAGATTCTTGAACGAGTAGCAGGCAAAACGTTGTTCACGACTATTCTGAACATACAATTTGCTTCTTCTCATCATTAAGTTGTAGAGACATTAGGTATTTTTTGGAAGCAGGCAAGAACGCCTTCGCCGAGAATCGAACCGCAGACCTCTCAATTACGCGCTGAGCGTGCAGATCACTACACCACGAAGGCTCGTTAAGAAGGCGGGGGAAATACCTTGTAAGATTCTGTGTTGTGTACTTTTAAGTTACAGTTGAAGTTGAAGAATCTTAAGAACTGATCAGCGAATAATCGCTTGAATTCGTGAGATACAGACAACACGTAAGAAAAGTGAAATTACCCTTTATTATTGCAATGAGGTTTAACAGAACTCCGTCTTGGAGTTTTACAGTAAAGCCGCCACTCCGGCTTAAACTTAGGAAAGTAAGAAATAAAAATCACGCTAGGAAAGTTGGAGAAATACCTTATATACTCCCCTTTTTAAAGGGCAAGTAGGGTTTTAGGGGACCTAGTCGCCAAATCCTGGGTGGGGAGAAATCACCATCCGCCACCATTCTAGTTCGGACGCCACTGTAGAGACATTAGGTATATTTTTTGAAGCAGGAAAGATGAAAAAAAGCAACCGCCTTCGCCGGGAATCGAACCACGGACTTCTGGAATACCGGCCCAGTGTGCAAACCACTATACCACGAAGGCACGCTAGAAAGGCGGGAGAAATACCTTATATACTCCCCCTTTTAAAGGGCGACTGGGGTTTTTAAGGCACCTAGTCGTCAAATCCTGGGCGAGAAGAGTCATTATCCAACACCCTTTTAGTTCGGGCGCCATTGCAGAGACATGAGGTATTATTTTGAAGCAGAAGTGATGAAAAATTAGCAATGCCTTCGCCGGGAATCGAGCCACGACCTCTGGAATACCGGCCCAGCGTGCAGAACCACTACACCACGAAGACACGTTAGGAAAATGGGAGAAATACCTTATACCACAACTGCATTTTACAATGATTATTTTTCAATTTCTAAATAGAAATATAAAAAATCTGAACAATTTTATATTACGCCCAAAGGAGCGTTTTTTTTAACGTTTTGTCTGTTAACTTTATTTATTAAATATCATGTTCTTCGCACATAAACCATAAAATTCAATTCAACAGCAATATCACAAAATATTTAAAAGAGCATATCTTTACAATTTCTGATACACAGTCTCCCGCGTTGGAGATAAAATGTTTTTTTTTTTTTTTTTCGTACAGTGTTGCCATTTCTCTCTTTGAAATCGCTAAGTTCTTAATAAAAATTCATTAAACTATTACAAAATATGAAATCGATAATAAACAGATTCTAAATTAGGAACATATTCAGTGGAGGATTCCGTTATTCAAATTTTTATGGCTCTGTATACCGTTGTTTTATCACAATGTGGGAAACATACACACGTTTACGCAGATTTTTCTTTATTTAATTTCTTTAAATATAACACAGGGCGATAATATTTGGTGGCAATTATTTGAAAAGTGAAACGGACATTTACATTTTCAACCCAAAATGCCAAACCAAAGTTAAGAGCCCTTCGGGGCTAAAAAGAAAGAAAGAAAATTTGATTGATTTCAGATTTTATTTTGCATCCAACAGGGCGTTTTTTTTTTTTTTTTTTTTTTTTTTTTTTTTTTTTTTAACGATTGGTGTGTTACCTTTATTTGTATCATAATATTTGCACTTAAAACACAAAAAAATTCAATTCTACAGCGACATCGCAAAATATTTAAAAATAGCAAAACAGCATACCTTTAGATTTTCCGATACACAGTCTCACGCACTGAAGATTAAAATGTTGTTTTTTCGTACAGTGTTGCCATTGCTTGCTTAGAAATTATTGAGCTTGTTAATCAAAATTCGTTAAAGTTTTGAAATACTTTAATAGATAATAAAACAAATTGAAATTCAAAATTCGGGCTTCCAAGTGATCATGTTCGGTTGGAAGACTACGTTATTCAAAATTTGATCTCTCTAGGTATATTGTTTTTTCACATTTTGAGAAACATTCATGCAGATTCTTCATTACTTAGTTTCTTTAAATATAATACACGGCGATAATATTTGGTGGGAACAGTTTGAAAAGTGAATCGATGCAAAATGCCGTTTTGAAATTAATAGCCCTGCTGGGCTAACGCCCTTTGGGCTAAAAAATATTTTGCCATTTGCCCAACCTATTGGACATTTGGATTAAATATGCGCACATAAAAATATTAAGTTAAAAATTGGTTACTACTCATTACTACCCTGATATCATAAAAAATTTATCTAACTCTTGCGAAAACACGGGGAATGTCGTGAAGGTGTATGAGCACAGAAATCGCCGAAAACTCCTCCAGCGCTTATATCGACTCCCCAATCACAGCTTTTCAGCCACGCACGCGTATGTACGCTTACGTCTTCGACGGTCAATATTTGCATAATTCATCGGCGGTCTACTTATTACCTTTGGCTCAATAATTTGCATAATTTGCAAATTCTCTTAATTTTGCACACGAATGTATTTAAAACTTTAAATTCCTTCAAACGTTAAGTGTTCCGATAAATTTGACCCAAACATTCCTCAGTGTTCTATGTAAAGTTTCATGTAAAGCATTTTTTCAAATAGAAATTTTCATCCAATAATTAAAACATCTTAGTTTTAAAAAAATGAAATCACGGTTTGTTACATTAAAAGCGAAATGCTGTGAAAGATAAGTGCAATCAAAGCCATATTTATTACATAGATAACTTATAGTACAAATGCGAAGTAATTACAATTATAACTCTATTCAACTTGATTATAAAGAACTTTGCATCTCATGTAACCACTATGAGAGGAAATAGCTGCTGCTACGCGATATGACTCTAATATCTCTAATAGCGTAGAAGAGAAGACATTTCAGATGTCTGTTTTTGAGTATGTCAGTGTGTCTGCTTCGATTAATTGCCAATATTCATCTGTAGCTGCAAATGGTTAATGGTGCGTCAGTCGTTGTTCAGTCATGGATAAAATGTCTTTGATCCGCGTATAAACGCGATGAATGCGAGGAAGTAGAAAAAAAAAGGACATGGTGACCATCTTGGAGTTCTCTGACTTCCTATGCCATAGGTGGTTGCGCAATATTTGTTGGAAACTAGATTCCCCCTAGGTCAGATCTAGAAATTAAAAAAGTTACATCTCAAAAACGTGCTATTGACTGTTCAATGTACTGGGAATGTGTAGTAAGCGCAAGTAGAATTGGAATTCATTGACCCTGGTTAACGTATCTGCGGATAATGTACTCGAATGGCGATACGTAATGCAGGGCTTATTTAGTCTATCTCTTTGGACCCACTAGACAGTGATGTAAACAGGACTTTGCCTGAAAAGACATTTTATGCCATTTGTTCCTCCAACCCCGTTCTTCTATCCCGAAACCGCAAATTGTTATAGTAGCTAGTCATAACAGAATAGCAATAGGACCTTTGCATATTAGTAGTAGGACGTTCGAGACTGATCGCTATGAAACACTCCCCTAAGTTTTGAGCTAGGATTTGTGGTGGGGCTGTACAATCCGTAGTACAGCCGTATGTATAAAAACGGCTGACTACCCTCTGGTTCAGCAGAATGATGATGCATTTGTATTCACCTACGCTGATAACTTTGTCCCTCTTTATAACCCACCTACTCATCATTCACATCACTGCGTTCATATTTGTTTCAGTACAAACACCTGTTTCATAATAATTGGTAGCAATGGTACACTGTAATTATTGTCTGATTAAAGCACTTAAAAAATGCTCCCTAAAATGACGCCGAACATGTATTGTCCTTACCTTTTTCATATCAACTTTGTTACACATAAGATAAACACATAAGGAAATCACATTTTTCAAGTGTTACAGAAATATATTCATAGATGGAAATTACAATTTGTCTTTTTTTCAGGTTTTAAGGTTTCTGATACTGTGAGGAAAGATATATTCGACGTAAGCATGTATGATGATGAACAAAAGCTTCTCATGATGGGCAATATGGCAGCTCTCGCTGGTGAGAAATTTTGACAGTACATTTGTCATAACTTTGTCTCAAGCTAAACAAATGCCATGTACCTCAAAAAAGAACTTCTTTATATCTATAAGAAGAGCTTAGGTGTATTTTAAGTTGCCAAATTTTGATAATAAGAAAAGAAATTTCTCTTTGATAATTGATAAATTATATTTTAAGTATTCTATTTTTTAGGAGTTTTAATTCGGATATTGTATCTGTAAACACTCTACATTTTCTATACAGGTAATACACTTTTTTCCAACATTTGATAGCTTTCCTCAATGTAAAATGTTTTTATTTACTCTTTTTTGAGGCGTAGTTCACCATCAGTAGGTCCACTTCAGCTGATGCTCCATAGTGACCGCTGTAAAGCACGGATAACATTCCTTCGACTCTAATGGATTTACTGTAATGTTGTAATGGATCCCCCGCAGTTTTTCTTTTGTTTTGGAGAAGATATCACAGTCATACAAATTCATATTTGGCCAGTATGGAAAGTTTTCCAGTACCACCCATTGCCATAGCTGTAGGAAATCCATGAAAGCAGTCGCATTATGACACAGCACATTGTCATGGAGGATGATGTGATTCACCACCAACAAGTATCGTTGTTTGTTCTTGACTCAGATAGTACCTTAGGTAACGCATCCCATCATCCTCCATAAAATACGCTGCGGTGTCGTACGGGTCATACTCGTAATTTGAGCTCTACCACTGATCTCCTGCGACGACAGCGAAGCGAGGTGCTAGAATTTCTGCCATACTTTCCCAATATCTGTCAGTATGATTATGAACTCTTTTCTTAAATGAAAGAACCTCTACAAAAAAATCCGTTTCAACATTACAGTAGAAAGAAAGACGTTTGTGCTTTAGGGCGGTTGCTGCGGAGCATCAACGAAAGTGGACGTGCTTATGGTGCATTATGCCTTTCAGTAATTTGTCATAAAGTGAAAGATATGGCAGGCGATTGCATTAAGCGACTGTGAGTGTTTGTACCTGTGGTAATAAATGATTATATGCTACCGAGCGGTTGCAGCTGCTTTGTGTTCAACCTCGGTAATATGCTATGAACAGAAAAAGATCGAAATATTAAGAAATATATATAAATTAAAACTTAATTAAAAATAGCAAGGTATAGAAATGCTTGCAGTTTATAGCTCTACAAAATTTCTTAGGCTTCGTTATAATTCTCAGATTTTTTTTCTAATTGCAATCTATAACGTACACAACAAACAGACATAGGAATTTTTTAATTAACGTGTCACACAGGAAGCTAGAAACTTCTTATCTCTGTAATTCTTCGTATAAAGTAACACTTAATTCCCCTTAATACGTTAACTCTCTTCCTGGAAATTAGTGGTAATTTACTTACATTTTCATGTATGTACTGTTCTACCTTATTTTTATGTATGTACTATTGGGTTTCTTTTTAAAATGTACAATTTTAATACGTACCATTAAAATTTTTTAATTTCTTTTAAGTTTATTGCATGTTTTTAATATCTTTAACACAGTCCTCTTAAATATTAACATTTCCCATTTCAAGTTGCCAGTAGTTTTACATTTCTTTTCCTAGCACATAGTCATAAATAAAAAATTAATAACTAAGTATATACAACATGCTGTCTAAATTATAATACAATCATGTATGTATAATTTAGACAGCAATAAAAATAAATGTCATGATAAAATGCTGCGAAATTAATGTGAATGTGGATGAAAACAAGTTTAAATTTAATCTAAAGTTAGTCGTAAGCTTTATGTAAAGGAATTTTATATATATAATGCATATTAATTAATCTCAGGTAGGAAATTAATCCTAGAATTACACGTATAAATTAAAGACAGGTTAGCGCATAAGTGAAGCATAAAGCAAAATAAGTTGATAATCCTTACGGTTGTTTTCAAATAGCAGCCAAAAAGAATTAACGAACGAAGCCACATACCTTACATCATACATACCGAATACATTAATCAAGATGTAAGGTATGCTCAACGGAGCCGCATACCTTACATCTTGATTAATAATAAATAATTTATATAAAATTCCATTCATTATAAATTTAGTTTATGCAAATTTAAAAATTTTGCTTTAAGTTTATTTGGTTTTAGAAATATACACGGATATACACTACCCGACACTGAAAATTCAACATCAAGAAGGAATGGCCAGAAAGTGATGAAACTCGGCAAACAGAGACAGACAGCAACGAACAATAAGTGATCGTTATTTTGAAATGTTATGCATAATACAGAGCTAGAACAGCGTTGGCTCAGTATGTTGTAGGACCACCTTGGATGGCGACACGCGAAGACACACGTCTAGGTAACACAGTGAGACTACGGATGGTGTCCTGAGGAATGGCTCTCCATGCTCTGACAACCATTTTCCACAGGTCGTCTTCTAAACACGCAAAGGCAAGAAGATCAAGAGAGAACGGTGGCCAGGGAAGCATCTGTACACCTTGTAGAGCACGTTGGCTTATGCGAGCAGTGTGTGGGCGGAAGTTATCCTGCTGATTAAGGGCACTGAACATTCTCTGATGGTAGGACAGTGTCACCGGCCGCAGAGCATCATACACGAATTGTTGGGCCGTCATAGTGCCCTGAATACGAAGTAGAGATGACTTGGAATCGTACACAATTGCGCCCCAAAGCATAATGCCGCGTTGTCGTGTGGTGGGGCGTTCCAAAATTGTTGCCGGATTGAACCTGTCTTCACATCGACGTCACACTCATATGCTGTGACTATCATTGAAGAAACAGAAGCGTGACTCATCTGAGAACACGATCCTGTGCCATTCCGTCGCTCACATCGCTCGAGACCGTTGGTGCTTATGATGTGGGGTCAATAGTAGTCTTCTTAACGGACATCACGAGTACAAGCCACTAACCACCAGTCGACGACAGATGGTTTTGGTCGATGTGGGAACATCCAGGCTGTTTTGAACATGCTGCAGAATGAAGATAGAAGTGGCTTGCGGGTGGATGCGTCGCTTGTCGTAGGATGTGTCGATCCACGCGCACTGACGTCAATCTGGCTGCACCAGCACCCCTCGAACTTGCCGCATGTCCTTCTTCCGACTATCGTCGCCACAGCCGGAGCACTGTGGACGCGTCTAGGTGTGTGTCAGCTGAGATTTGCCGTACAGACCAACCTGCCTTTCTCAGTCCGATCAGCATGCCCCTCGTAAAATCGTCAGTCTACTGAAACTGCCTTTGTTGACGAAGGCATGGCATTCTCTGCTATCACACTCGTCCTCTGAGAGAAGAAGAAATTTTCTACAGTGATTTCCCTGGCGGAAATAACGGCACCAAAACTGAACATTCTGCACGTTCCTTCTCTTATATAGTCTTCAACGTGCGCTGGAGAGCTGCGTATTTAACATTATTCGCATAACTCGGTGACGTGCGTATAAACTGAAATTTGCATAATTTTGGGGACAATCCTTCTTGGAGTTGCATTTTCAATATCAGGTAGTATAAATCGAAAACGTTTATAAGGTATTTTCTTCTTTCTTCCAGCATGCCTTCGAGGTGTAACGGTGCCATCGGCGCGTATTCGAGAGATCCTGGGGAGGGCATTGTCATTTTAAATGTCTCCTCCATCAAAATAGCCTATGGCTCTACAAGATAATTAATTATTAGGATTAGATAAGAATTATCAACTTATTTTGTTTTTCTTTTATGTATTGATTATCTCTAATCTATCTGTAAACTTTCTTTAAATTAGGTAGCTTACCAATATTTTTAGATAAAATTCAAATTTGTCCTCTTTAGACTTGAGACTGCTTTTATAAAACTTTCTGCACTTTAATGTGCAGAAGTTCATATTAAAAAACCTCTTATTTGAATTTTAAAAATTGACATACATCTTAATTTAATTTAACTTAGTGTAAACCTGGTAATAGATAACAGATGTTGGATCAATGCTATTTAAGAAGAAAATTCTCTAGCCAGATTTTCAAACACCATGAAAACCATACTTTAATGTTTCCTTTATTGTCTATGAACTAGGTAATAATTTTCTAAAGTTACTAAATTAAATTTTTGCTCTTAGTTAATTTAATGCTAAGTTCGGCAAAGTGCAATATCATTATTCTTAAATACAAGGTGATTATAATTAAAATTCACAATTCCAAATACCCTGAAATGAGAACCACGCTAAGAATATATTGAAATTTTGTTTGAATATTCTTGAATCAATGGAATTATGCTGGTGAAAGAAAAAAAAAACTAGAAATTTATAGTTACATGTCACTGTGATGCATACCGATGACATCAAAGAATGCAATTTACTTATATGTGAAACGCGCGCAACTTAAACATTTTGCAGTAAAAATCAAATTTTGCAGTTACAGGCTTTCCATCCCTCGTAAAAATATGAATTATTCTATTGCAAATATTGTGCCATTGAAAACGCGAGTTCTTCTTTTAAAATTGCTTTATCAGCATTACATTCTCTGAGGAAGTTTAGAACATTGAAGAGTTTAGAGCTGATCTAATGTCTGTAAAAGGTCTGCATAAAATGAGTTTAAAATCTAAAGACTGCCTATTTAGACAACAGAAATGACAGGAAATTTAAGGTACCCTAGCAGCAGACGTACTAATTACAAAGTTACAAGAAGACAGTAACATTCATTTATCTAGCAGCATTGGCCGATTATTAGCCAGACCTTCGAATACCGTACGAAAAGTTTTAAAATGCGTTCTGAAATATGATTCTTCGTAAATTTCCCGTGCTTAAATGGTATTTCTTACCTTTGTACAAGAATGACAGCTTCAATTTCTTATTCATCCATACTCCTTGTGGTCGACCACGAAGTATTTTATATACACCAAAAGAAACATATTTCTATTTTTCACAATCTTGTTGATATGAAAAACTAGAGAACCTACGCAATTAAAAATCCACATGGTTTACGTCATGTGGCTTTTCGCTTCCCAGTGGTTAATAGTAGCAAGAGCATTTACTACAGCATTTACTACCGGTCCTTCCTTTTTTGAACAAATCTGTTCTGAAGACTCCATCACCTGCTCTATCAATGGCCATTGAAATGGATCCTTTCTGAACGAACCTCTTATACTAAAAATATCAGAATCAGTGTCTAGATATCACTATTTTCATGTAAGACTAACTCCACCGTTTATTTCTTAGGTAGGAAAATAGCCATGTCAAAAATTGCAGGCACATACAGCCTAAGAATTAGTATAATGTATGAAAGTATAGTGTAGTACTGTAGATTATATAACGTAACAAGCAGCATTTACTAAATACAGTATGTGAGTCTGTATAGAGTCCTAACTTGTGTAATGCTAACTTAAATGTTCTGCAGCGTCTACTAGACTAGATAGTGATCTCTCCGTTTGTCGAACTACGGAATACCTATGAAGGTTTTAAGTAAATTATTTTATTAAAGTTTGAACTGAAGAGAAGACACAACTTTTGCGTAAGTTCAAACTCCGCCATTTGCAAGTACTAAAATAGAAGAAAATTGTCTTTCCAATTTAAAATGGATTCATAGACTGGGATTACAAATTTTTCCGCACAACTAAGCGCTGGCTAAAATCTCGTAATGGGGCGGTTTAACTTCAGTTATCAATATGGCTAATGTCGGAATACTGCTATGTTGAGCTGAACGACAGAAATTAAAGTAGTGGGAGTCGCTGCCAATAGCCCTACCTTTAAGATATTCAAAACTCTTTCCTTAAATAGTCTTAACTCATTTGAATCCTGGCGGGGTTAATGAAAAGGAAAAGAAGTAATACAAATCCAAATCATAAGAAAATGGGTCAATTAACATAAAATGCCTTATCAAATTTCTGCACGATTGCAAGAGTAGTGTGACCGCGCCATATTTTGAAACAAAAGGATGCAAGTTTGCTGCAGCTTTTGAAGCAACATGATATTAGTTTACTTGCTCTTTTATGAAAAACCTTTGAGGCATTTGCTGCATATCCACTCAGCATCATCCCGCTATTTCAAGTGTTGTTATTTATGAGGAAAAAGACTCATGACATTCAAATATACTACCGTGGAATTAGTCTCATTATGTTTGCGTGCAGAACTTCATTTACCTAAGTCTTGATATGCATCCATTTAGAAGATCTTTTACAAGTTTCTCATCAATAACCATAAAAGCTTCAGAGTTTCTTACCATTTGCTCCTATTTAAAAGAAAAGATTATAGTTTAAAGCAGTGAGACTTGACTTCTTTTCAGCATCCATTGATTAAGTTGATTTATTTGACAGTGTTAGGTTTTAAGATATAGTAGAATATTGAAGATTCGACTAAGATACAGCCGTGGCGGGTGTACGGTCTTGTACTCAATTAATGAACTCAGATTAACCTTCTTAATTATTTACAACAGACAACGTAGATTATATACACTTTGCACAAATAGAAATACGTCAATTGATAGAATTGTTTAAATTTTTAAAATTATCACACTGACCATACTGAGCATTTCGGCCTCTCCCGCCGAAAGCCAGTCTCCAACTTCCCCTTTTTTTATCTAGAGGGCGCTCTCTCCTTTTGGGATAGCAGTTTTTGGAGGACCAGTCACTACACTCATATTGTTACTGCTTAAGAATGGCTCCATTTCAGTAACATCTATGAATTTAATAGGGTTATTAAATGAAGGATGGGGCTCGAAAATTCATTCCAATATTCGTATCAACTGATTCTAATTTAAAAAAGCAACAGCATATAATCTTCTCCCTAGTTGCTCCTTCATAAACACTGCATTAAGGTTTTAGATAGTGTATTACGAATGAAAGTTAAATGTACGAATTTAAAGCAATGTAAGTGTAATAATAAAACGGAAAAAAGCCGTAGTAGCCTATTATCTTTTTAGTCTATTTATTTCATTTAATTTGGTTACTGCAGTTAACTGCAATTACCAAATATCAAAAAGATCTAGGAGCGCTGATATCGACCCCCCCCCTTTTTTTTTTTTTTTTTTGTAATCCTGCATTTTTTTCAGCATACAGTCAAAAGAAAATACGAAAGGAATCAGCTGTGTATTTTCAAATTAAAGTGTACACATTCATGTTTTACAATCTCACACATTTACCCTGCAACACATTTTTTTAGTTAAGACGCTACTGTACAGTCATTACGTTTGTCGAAGCCAGGAACATGAAATATATTCAATGCTCACGCCAACATTGGAACTCCAGACCGCTCAATGCAGACCGGAGTCACATCCCTAAGACAAACAGTAAGTAGGGAGAAAATACCTTATAAGATGGGTAAATTTTCGTTCTGGACTATAAAAGTTATTTATTAGTACTTAAAATTTGGTGTTGCTAATCTCACTTGTCTGATATAATCAGAACAAGCCCACGAATTATTATCGTATCAAGAAGCACAAGACTGCGTCTGTCGTTGGTACAGACCTTGAGCACCATACAGGTGATAGTCCGACTTTACTTCAATTCCGCCCTAGTTATGAAGGAGGGCACCCTGGGGTGGATTCGAGGGTCTTCCACCCCTCTTTTTCCTACCACAAACCTCTCGAAGTGACTTTCGGCTCCCTGCATATTTTGAGCGCCCCATGCCACATAGATATTACACATTTACAAATGTCCATTCCTCCTCCGAGATTCGAACCCCAGCCCTTCGGACGACAGTCAGCGTAGCTATCCACTTTTCCATCTGGGCGGCTACTACATATATTAAGTTTACATAATAATAAGAATGGAAAAGTTAAAAATATATATATTTACGCGTATGTTAGTTTAACTCTAAGTAACCTTATACTTTCAGTTAATCCAAGACTTATTTTATTTTAAAAGTTATGTTATTTAAATTGAAGAATCAATTATTTCTAAAGAGTCATCATTTTTAAATATTTTTACAGTGTTGTAACCGGCAGCAGAACAACTACCTGTGAAAACGTTTTTTTCTTTTTTTTTTTTTTTTTTTTTTATTAACAATTCATCAAGTTAGAATAGCATTAGCAAATGCTTTTGACAACTTTAAAAAACATCAGTTAATTTCACAAACTGAGTAATTGAAAAACATTCATCATCTTTAAAATGATATTAATTTTAAAAGAACCTCGTAAAATCAAACAAAATCTCCTTTTCTCTTTCACCTTGAAATAATTTTAGTGCTTTCTGAAACTAGAAATCTACTCTTCATTTGTTTACTTAAAATTATACTTTACTCTTATTTCGCTACAGGAAGTGCTGTATGGAATATTCTTGCTACCTTTTTACGTCTTCCAATCTCTGGGACCCATAGCATTGTTGGTGCTGTTCTTGGCTTCACATTCGTCGCCAAAGGATTTCGAGGCATTCAGTGGAAAACGCTTGGTTTTATAGGTAAGTGTACTTTCATTCATTCATTTTTTGGAATCGCTCCATCGTTAGTAGATTTCTGGTCAAAAATAGGATATGATGATAGTTTTTTTTTATAAAGGTGAGTCTTTTTTCCACTATCAGCTTCTTCCAAATTACAAACACGAATTAAAATTTTTGAAAAACATTTATTAATAGGCTCGAATTCATTAGATTTTATTAATAAATTAAACTTATAATTTTAATAAAGATTCAGTCCTTAAAACTGTTTCTACATTTACGGAAAGATATATATATATTCTCATTTTTATATGACAAACTCAGAAATATTTTCACAAAACAACTTGAAGAATTTCTGATAATTTCATTAGCAGGTTAGCCTAGCAGAACATTTACGCTGAGAATATTTCTAAGTAAGAATTTTCTTTTTTGTTTCTAAGAGAATATTCTAATATTTTCTAAGTAAAAATGTAAAAATACGTTTGTACTTATTTTAGTCATTTACATCAACCATGTGGGCTGTGATATTGAATGAAATATTAACCCTTTAACTGTCAAGTTATTTTGATGATTTGGGTACACAAATTGTCAAATTTTTTTTATTGGAAAAATCAAATGTTTAGTACAAAATAAAATATACTTAAGTAGTTAAAAATTGATATTTTGAAGTACATGGGTAAAATTTTTAAAGTTTGTAGCCACTTCATATTTGCTTGAGGCGGCTGCCACTCAACATGGCAGTTGTAAAGTTCACTTCTAGTGGAGCATTGTTTTTTAAAAATGAAAAAAAATTAATTATTTTCTGAAAAATAAATAAATGAAAAAAAATAAATAAATAAAAGTGAATATCTATTAGTAGTTCAGTAATTCAGTCTTGTGTGGTACAACTGGAAACACTTTTCCAAACAAAAACCAACTCCACAATCACTACACCAGATTCATGTTTCCTTCCTTATCTTTTTCCCATTTTTATCCTTTTTCGAACAACACACTTTGCACTGTCTTGTAGGCTCACGTTTCACAGGAGAAGGAGGAATATGGGAAATAAAATGTCGTTCAGTAAGACGGGCAGGGTTATCTATTGTAGGTGGTCTGCCAACATTCTTTTGCACAGAAGCTGCATCATCATATTTATGTAAAAGCTTTTCTACAACTTGGATTTGAGATTCTAAAAATGTAATACCTTTCCCAACTACATTTTTATAGAGCAAATATGAGTTCCAGAGTACCTTGTCTAGTAAATGTAAAAATATCTTTTTATAATATCTTTTTCTGACGTTTTTCGGATTGTTGGATGAAAGGATATTTCCTGCTCACAGCGATCTACACCACCCATAGTTAGACTGTAGTCAGAAACAATCTTCGGCTTGAGTATATCTTCATTTTTTTTTTATTTTTGAGGCTGACCATGGAAGTATCATGAATACTGCTCGTCAAACACACATCCTTCATCTTCGGTTGAAGAATCTAAATCAGCTATATAATGTTTCAAAAAACTGGACGCCATTTTACAACAAAAAGATCCCGTGCACTTTGAACCAAAGAACTTATAACCTCTAGCCTTTGAAATCTTCAGTAAAGGTGCTGTCGTCTATTGAATTGAGCGCACATTAACTTTTCGCGAGATACAGTCGGGTTTGACAAAGAGATGAAGCCGAAATAAACGTCTCCCGATATATATTCAGGTATAACAATACGATGCACTGAAAAAAAAATTACCCCGAGTAATCCTCGGGCGTGACATTTTCGAACACCAGTGCTGTGCCCGAGATTATCTCGGGCATGACAGTTAAAAGGTTAATATTTTTAAGAATGGCATAGTAAAAAAACAAGAAAGCAAAATCAAAAGCGTTGTTTAGCGAGCAAAAATGATAAAAAGCAATAATTTATGTATCAGTCCATCTGTATAATAATAATTCAAATATTTTCTCCGCTCAATTAAATTATACGCATAAATTTACCTATGCTTTGTACACTAAATAATATATTTACTTATTTAATAAAAAAACCTAGCATTATTTGCACTTCTTCATGAATTCGAACTTCCAATTACAAAAATGCTTTAAATGGCGCAAAAAAATACGTCTTTCCGTATTTTTATTTTTAAAAAATTATTTTCATATAAAATAAGGAATCTAACTTTTTACACTTTCCTCTGGTTCCTATACCTCCTATATTTAGGACAATTTTGTGCTCGTTATAAAAAATACTAAAAATGGTTGCCGTACTTGACGTCATTTTGAATTTGCATTGAGAGACTTATTAACGGATAAATTAGAATATCTGAGGTTAACATTTTCGCCTTAAATTTCATTCAATGATATTCTTTCGTGATTTACTAGCCTTTTTATTAATAAGTGTGTTACACTTAGCATGACGAAAAAAATTTCACACAAGTAGTTTATAAGTTTTCATACTCTAAAAATGGATTATTAATATTCTCATGAAGTTTTATTACCTTAGAATCATAATCCGACAATTGTAAAAAAAATTCATTTGAAGTAAAACTATTTTCGCTTTTAATCAGCGCAAATAAATATTACGAATTGGCTACGTGCCGATACTGAAACCTTTCCGTGCTTTCTGAAGCATTAATGTTTTAAGATTTCGTGAATAGGATTTCCATTTTGAAAAACAATATATTGATTAATATTTTTTACAATAATCTGTACACAAATGCTCATCGAGTAATTTCTTAACTTCAGAAATTTTTTTCTAAACGATATTTGATTTTTAGTTACGTACATCTAATAATCATGCAAATATTTCGCTCTTCAATCCGTGTACACTTCTGAATATGGTTCCCAATTTTAATGCCACATATCTCAGTCAATATTTGTCGTACAGGAGTCAAAGTTGTGTGTTTTATATTTTATGACGAGTACAAATTTTTTCTAAATATAAATATATGGATCGGAGGAAAGCGTAGAAAGTTAAATATCCTGTTTTATACATTTTTTAAGATAAAATACAGAAACAGTAATCTTTGCTTCATTTAAAAGATTTTTCTAATTGGAAGTATATGTGTATGATCAACAGTTGCGAAAATTAAGGTAGTGAGAAGGATTTTCTGCGTTTACTTGCTTTATTATATTGTATTGAAACCTCAAATATTCTAAACGTAAAAAAAATACAGAAGCCGGAAAGAAGAAATGGGAATATTAGTGTTGGTATAACACCGAATGCAGCAATCAAAGTAAACAATAAAACTGATTAAGATCCAGAACATTCAGTTATCAGCAAACGTTGATTCTTACAATGTTGTTCAAATCTTTTACTTCCGTGCACATATCGACTGTACGGCACTAGAATACAAAACATTCAGAATTATCAACATAAGGCCTCGTACAAAATTATAACGCATGACACATTGAATAATTATAATTTTGTTCTGGCGATCTACGTAAATTATGAGAAATAACATTACTAACAAACTACAGGAATATTGAAAAGTATAATTGGGGACATTTCTGAAAAAGTTTAAATATTTACGAATTCATGTTTTGCTTAGCCATTAATGTATCAATTTATAGTTCTCTTAATTACGATAACTTAAATTAAGCTGAAAGACTGAAGAACGTTTAATAATGAAACTGATTCTTAAAAATCTGATGTGGAGACTACATGAGTTCCTTGTACGGCCTATTAAATCATACACATTTTTGCTACAATTCATTTAAACTTATTTCCTAAAATTATTCTAGCTTAATTACCTGATCTCTCGAGGCATGTTGAAAATGACATCAAAAATCGCAAATTTTGGAACTGAATATATCGGTCCATTTTTGTCATATGGAAACTAACTTTTTCTAATTTTATGTTTTTCATAACTAATATAAAACGTTTTCAAATGTAAGTATAAGAAAACGTCACACAATAAAATTCTTCCAAATGGATTCGAGAGCGATCAAAATAAATATTTTTGTTCTAATACGATACTCGAAATTTTTTGCGATCCCATGACTGCCTTTACTTAGTACAAGGATGTAAAAATACATAGCCATATTTTAATAGGCTCTTGATCCGTGTATGATAATACGTAAGTAACTCAAAAATATTTATTCAGATAAAATTTTGCATGACAGGATTTCATTAGAGTTGAATGTGTAACGTATATAGAGCCAGTTTCCTATAGAAAATCCACCGTGAAGGCATCCCTCTCTTTTGGCAAATAACCCTCGTGTGCTTTCCAGTAGTCAAATACACCAACCAAACCTTCACTAGAACTGAAGAAAAGAGTTAATGCATTGGTTAGAGAGAAAAAAGCATTTGGTTAATCTTCAGTACTCCAGTAAAACAATTTTAAATAGAAACATAAGATAGGACAGTAGCTTTAAATATTTTCTGATTCGAACGAATTTTGCGATTTTTTTTCATTTACTTAAACTGTTACTTCTTTTTTCATGCCGTGATGTATATTAAAAACCACAACTGCCTTCTAGAAGTTTTGTCCTGCATACGTTCTTATGTCGATAAACAGGTGGACACTCTAAAGAATATATACTCACTGTATTCACGAAGAATAAGGGAAAATGAATACTGAAGTCCTTTTGTAAAAATTTTGTTTGAGGTGCATAAAAATAAATGAAGAAAGATAGAAATGAAAATTTTCTACTTAATAGGGCTAAGCAGATAAAAGAGCTTTCTCACTGTGGAACTATATTTTTAAACTTTAGTAATGTAAAATATTTTTACACACTGGGACAGTTAAATTTTCCAATTATAGAATGTCGAGTTTGATTTGACCTGGCATCACTGACTTTTTATCACTGTCAGCTCATTTCGAAGCTTTGTCAACATGAAGCGCTACGCGAAGGAACAGTTAGTTTTGATTGTGAAAAATCATTACAAAAATGGCGAGTGTTATGCAGAGACTGTTAGGAAGTGTCGTACAATCTTGGATGTGAAAATGCACTTAATGAAACAACATGATTTTCATATTGATTAAGAAAACAGGTTCCACAAGAGATATGAAATCACCACGCCCTCGATCCAACAGGTCTGTCGAAAACATCGCTACTGTGAGTGACAGTATTATTACAAGTCCCAAAGGATCCTATTTTAAAGAAAAGCAACAAAACATTTAAAGAGAAAATTTAATGTGTCCATTAGCCACCTCGATAGGCAGGTATGTAAAAAAAAAATATTGCGAATTTCATCGAAAAAATTCGGTGCTGTAGAGTAAATCATGGAGAACATATGCCAGACATTATTTTTTATTCTTAAATCGGAACATTTACCTGTTGTAAGCATATAAAAATACTTTCTATTATCTAAAAATAAAGCATTTTACTGGGTATACTAAATCCGGCGTTTTTGTTGGAACACCCTTTATTTTAACAATTGAATGCCTGAAATTACTACCATCTTTCTCTATTTAGAAAACATTAAATCACCGATGTTTTCTTGTGCAAAAGAATATGAGTTTCTATTCATCTGCTAGCTAGAGCCTCAAAATAAACTGGGGATTTTCTACGCTATTGACGCAGAAATGTGGACAAGACAATTCTCTTCTTTTATTATATTATGAAGGATTTCAGAAGTTCAATCTCCTTCAAGTCTTAATCAAGTTCAATCTCCTTCAAGTCCTAATCTGATTGACAGATATAGGATGATTCCCGTGTTAGCTAGTAACAATGGAGTTGAGTATACAAAAAACACAATGTTGACTGAGGTAGATTTTATTTCAGCAGAAGCAATATCAGCGATTCAAACACAATCGCCTTTTTCAGCTACTCTTAAATGAAACACAAGTATCAAAACAGAAAGACAGATTCACGAAATGTCGAGAACATACTAGAAATTGATCACGACACACTCTGTAATGAAGAGGGTAATGAACCTTTCGATTCTTTAAACTGAACTGAATTCTTAAAAATTTTGGTGAAAGTACTGAAGTCAAATTTTACTTTGATGTTTCAAAACAATGCTTTCCTTACTTTTACTTTACTTTTTAATTTATTTCCTCCAAGAAAGATGATTATGTTAAGCATTCAAACGCAGAGACTATAATAATGGCCAATGGTCGAACATGAAGACAATGGTAAAAGCCTGAAGTAAGATAAAGGCAAAATAACTGTTGCTATCGATTTCTGCATGCATAACATTTATGGTTTAAAAGAGAAAAAGCAGTTAGCAAACACATAAGTTGAAATCTTTTCAGAGTTTTACGTCGCGGTAACAATTCACTAGAATTGTAAATAAATGCAGTGCAATACAGGAAACAAAGTAAATCCATTGTCACCTGCAAGATTATATCTATAATAATAAAAGCAAGTGTAATGTGTCTGTCTGTCTGTCTGACCGAGCTCTCCAGCCAAATCTATCGCACGCAGGGACCTGGAATTTTTTATACGGAAGCACAAAGGGGCTGGCCACCAGACCTCGAAGCCCGATTTTCGATTTTTGAATTAGAAAATTTAAAAAAAATTATTTATAATTAATTAATCACGGTTTTTTTGACTCACTGATATTATTATTTGTTTTCAAATAACGTTCGATTGTAACAATTGATTTCTTTATTCTAGCGTTAGTTTGCTGTTTTGACGATACATTAAATCGATTAATTACAATTCATTTCTTTTTGTAGCTTATTATTTATAATTAATTAATCACGGTTTTTTTTGACTCACTGATATTATTATTTGTTTTCAAATAACGTTCGATTGTAACAATTGATTTCTTTATTCTAGCGTTAGTTTGCTGTTTTGACGATACATTAAATCGATTAATTACAATTCATTTCTTTTTTGTAGCTTGTGGGGGGGGAAGAGAGAGAGACAGTCTACATGTCCTACACTACTATTCCTGCGCTATTCACTTATCTGCATTTTCTAAATGCACGGGCAACGCCGGGCGGGTACAGCTAGTAAGTAAATAAAAAGAAAGCCTTGTATTATTGCATTTATACCTAGATAAATTCCTAGTCACTTTGGAAGGAAGCTACTGAAAAATGATGTTTTCCGTAATTCCTAGGAGAAAAACTGTTGTATTCAAATTATAGAAACTATTATAAATATTTATTACAGTTCGTGCAGCTGTCTATCTTCTTTACGTTAAAAATCTTAGTAGAATCCAATAGTCTTAGTGGAAGCTTATAAATTTGAGAAATAATATAACTTAAGTATAGGAGACTTTCGCCACTGGAATTTTTAGAACTAAAAATTCTCAATAAAGGTTGCTAAAGATCTTTTTTTGCGAGGTACGAGGGAGGTGACGATAAGGTTTAATTTAAATTAACCAGTCTTTAATATTACTTCTATCTATCCTTCTTTTCTCAGTCTTCACCAGAATGCAAAATAGGTAGGGGTTAAAAATCCCAAATACGCATTATTTGGCTAACTTGCACTGACAACCAGTGATTTTTGTTTACCAGCGACTAACCCTTACTCAGAGGCATGGGAAAATGTTAGCTGTTGAGTCTAGACAGAAACCAAGGTTCGTTGAAATTATTTTGCTGTCGAGTCAGTGAGAGTTGTTTTTGGAACTAAGGATTTTGTTGGATTCAATCTATGTTTCAGTTCAATATAAATTCAGTTTTTAGCATGTTTTTGTTGTGCTCTCGTGAATAGTGATGATTAAGTGTTTGTAATTTATAATTTTGATACCTTCTACAAGTTGTAGAAGAAAGTTTTTATTTTTCTTCCTGAGCTGTTATTTACTGAAGCGTAGGAAGCTATAGTCTATTATTTTAAAATTAGGCACTTGAAAGCCGTTGCCATCCCCCTCCCCCATTTGTGATCGTAACTCTGTCGTAATCATCGCCCAGCGTTTATTTTCTTTTAAGTTATTTGAGACTGTAGTTCAAATCAGCCTTCATACCGTGACTTTTATGAAGCGAAACATGCTAAATGGAAATGAAATGAGGGAAAAAATTAAACAATTCGACTACTTTTCCACCGATGTTGTTCATCGGTGGAAAAATAGTTATTCAAGTCATCGGTCATACTGGAAAAGTAGTCAAGTTCATCAAGTCAAGGTGGAAAAGTAGTCAAGTTCATCGGTTATTTGTTCATCACTCAAATCGGGAGGCGGAAAATAACTTTGAAGTTCCTATTTTAAAGTAACAGACTACAATCGGCGACGATTCATCTAAGCGAGATAAGCTTTTAGTGACTTGCAGAAAGATAAAGAAATCTTATAACTTTTCTTATTTCATGAAAACTTTAATGTCTCTGAATTCAGTAATTTCAAGTGTACTAGATGCAAACTTAGTATCAGTTCACAAATTAATTTTTGTCATCATTGTAAACGTAGATTCTTTTCAAAAGCAGTTCACCTGCTGAAGAATGTTGTGAATTTGGGAAGACGTAATTTGAAACTAAATAATAAAAGCGTGTGTGTGATTCTGCCAAAGCCTCGAGGGCTATCTGCGTAAGAGGAAGGATGCCTTCGTTGAGGATTTTCTAAGGGAAACTGGCTCGTATACACGTTACACATGGGAAAAACCACGAAAACGCCCATGCAGCCAGCCCCATCGTGGGATTCGAACCTCGGACAGAACACCAGTGTTCAGCGAGTTTACCGCTCGGCCACTGGTGGGCAAGTAATTAAAGCTGAGGGATTTTGTAAGTATATTTGCAGTGCTATTGTTTTATTTGTACTCTTTTTTACAAAAATCTTCGCAGTCATCAATATTAACCAACAGAAAACTTCTTGGTAACTATATCGAAGCAAGTTTAAAAGTTACAGTACAGAACCAAAGTAAATAATTTTGACCGATTACTTGTGGAATAGATACATTAAAATAATCAAATTACTGATACACTACAGAAATAAAATTCAAAGCTCTGAAAATCTAGTAGAAAATAGTTCAATGTGCGAAACGAACGTAGGCAGGGTCCATGATGTTGGTGACAAAGATTTGCCTACCACTCTAATAGTGTAGGAAGTATTAAAATGGTGAATGGATTAAATAATAATAAAAAATAACTAATATTTAAACATAATTAAATGCTAAATTAAGATTCCTTTCCATAACTAAAACCCTTTATATTTATGCAAGCCTGTAGGGTTTCATTTAATTATTTTATTAATAATTATTTTAATTTGTGAGCCTTTTATGTTTTCTTTGATTCTCCTCGTATTTCCTCGCCAGGATAAATGACTTAGGGTGAACGAGAATATTTAAACTATTAGACAGAGCGTGGTTAACAGAGCGTGATTTCGCTGTTCTGAGAGCACTTTGCTAATTCTTACAGTTGTTAACCTTAAATATCGGCTATGTATTCTTATCGCCGAATTACTATTCTGCCGGTGTAGGTTCTGGGTTAACCTGTTAGCTTAAATTGAACTGTGCAGTCTCGTACTATTCTTTACCTTTAAATTAAGTCTTATATTATCCATTATGTTCTAACCGCAAGTGGCCGGTGTTTATAAGCACGTACGTCTACCTGTAAATTATATTGTATTCAGTAAAAGGACCTTTTACACCTTTCATCTGGTTGTATTCAGCTTCAAACCTGTGCTAGAATTCGCAAGCATTAACACTTAGGTAGATCTAGTCACATTTTATGATAGCCAAGAAGACTAGATCTTATAAGCCTTTCTGCTTTTTTCAGTCTACTAAACTTTAGCTAGTTAACCCTCAAAAGCAGAATATTATGCATTTATTCGTCTCACAGTGCATATAATTTTTTCTTAAAATGATAAAATGAAATATTTTTTACTAAAAAAAGTGTAATGTACGGATTTTATTCAATGTTATTTTTGCGTCATGATAAGAATTAAGTTATCTTTTTTATTTTTATTTAATTTCCTTTAGTTTCATCTTGGTTTTTATCACCTGTTCTCTCAGGACTTGTCTCTGTACTGATATTTGTCTTCATAAGAAAGTTCATCCTAAGCAAAGTAAGGAGTACAATCAGGTAGGAATGCCTTTGTTAAAAAATTGCTCTTCTTCTGTTACTGATGACGTTATTTACTGAAGAGCATGTATCATCATTAAACGTTGCAAGAAATGCTATTCTCAATACCAATGCACTTTTTCCAAGCTTTTACCGAACAGTTAATTAACTTATGTTCATTAGTAAAATAACTTGTGCTTGAAACTTGATATAACTGAATTCGAATAGCAAGATTCATCTAGTTTTCAAGTAGACTTTCTCTATTCAGATTACCTTTTATAAAGAACTTATTATTGAGCCTTTCGCTTCAAAACTAATTTTTAAAAATAAAAAGAGTTTTTTTAATGTTACGCACCTTGTAAGGATCTTAAGTTTTACTAACGTTTATTTTATTTTAAATCTTTACTATCACTTCTTATTTTCTACTTCCGGCCAGAATTATAAGCGTTAAATTTATGCAAATTTGTCTGGCGAACGCCAAGTATTTAAGTTGTGGCTTTTTGCCAAGCGAGAGAGAGGAAGCAGTTAGTCGAAGCAGGCCGCTTACCTTAGAAGTTTTACTCAGTTGCTGGTTGCCTTCCAGGCCAGAGGTTTTAATCCTCTTGATAATTTTAAACGTATTGTAGTGTTCACAGTTCTCTGTACTACATACGGCTTCCTGTTAATATAAGGCCAATCTTCCACGTTTATTATTCTAAAGTTAAATTAGAGTTTAGTTTATTTTTATATTTTACGTTTAGACCCCAAGTAGTGGGTCTTGTATTCCGAAGTACGGAAAGTTATTGTAAATAGAGAAAAATAAAGGGTTTTGTATACCCTTCTTGTGTATCCTGTCTACTTCCCACAGTTATTGAACATAGCTTTAGTAAGCTCTCTGTTCCGAGTCAGGTCCTTGCATGTTCCCGAAGAAGGTAAGACGGAACATTGAACCTGATAGTGGCGCCCAACGAAGAAGAATAACCATGGCCGAGTTTCAAGAAGAACCTGTGCTGCCTGCAGAAAGCGGCTCAGAATCCAGAAATGCCAGCTGCCGCCCTGGAAGGATTTGGTTACATCGTCCAGACCATGCGCGCTTCGATGAAACCAGAAGCAACATTTAATGGAAACTCACCGGTAACCAGTTTTTTGGAAAAATTGGATGACCACTTCATGCTCTACCCCGTGCACGAGTTTCAAAAAGTTACCTTAGCTACCAGCGCTTTGAGGGGCCAAGCGCTTAACTGGTTCAAATGTATAGGCAGAAGTCTCTTGGGTCAAGCAGGAAGTCCCACCTATACTTACGAAAATTTCAAGACTGCCCTACTAAAAGCCTTCCCTGTTGTAAGGGATCGTGCGAAATTAGAAACGGAACTTTTCAGTATATATCAACAAAGAATCGAAAACCTCTCAAGCTTTATTTTAAGAAAAATTCACGTCTTCAAACTCTTGTATGGAAACCGTCCGGATCCTGAGATAATTCAAGTGATTTTGCCGAGGTTACTGCCCCAAGTGCAAGACTTTATTGAATTAAGAAATCCGACTACACTGGAAAAGTTATTTGAGCTAGCAATCCAGTTTGAAAGTAGAAGAACGGCGGACATTGAAAGAAGACGCCAATATCAACAGCGAAACCAATTTGGTGCGCCAAGACTACAGCAAACTCAAGCACACGGCTACGGAAGCAAAGCGAATCAGTGGGCAAGGAAACCCGAGCATTCAAAAACAGCCGGCGAACGTCGACAGTTCAATAGCAATCCAGGAAAAAAGTCTCAAGGCCAGTGGAAAAAGAAGGAAAGCACGGAAATGAAAAATAATTTAAACTAAAACGGATTTCTGCTGACGGGAGGGTGCGGAAATCCGAAGGCCACGAAAACCCCTCTTCCTTCAAGTTAAATACAGTAATGGTGAAAAATTTGACTCTTCCGAAGATTGAAGTGTTGGTGAATAATATCCCAGCCACCGCACTCCTGGATACAGGCGCGCAGTGTTCCTGTGTGGCAGAAGATTTTTTTAGGAAGTATTTTCGTAAATACCGCATATATAATTCGGATAATACGACAGTGTTAGCGGCGCAAGGAGAAAAATGTAAGTGTATAGGTAAATTACCGCTGTATGTCCGTATCAAGGACGAACAAGTAAAGGTGATGTTTTTTATAGTAAAGAATCTGCAAGCACATATTAATCTTAGGAATAGATTTTCTTTCAGAGGCACAAGCAACGCTGGATTTTAATGAAGCGTCCCTTAAGCTGACAATGAAACCAGTTCGTGAAGAAAAGGCTGAACCGCCGATGTTAAATCTTGACCACCTGCCTAATGACGAGCAACGAAGAATCCGACAAGTGGTAAGTGAATTTGCTTCGTTATTTAGTGATATTCCAGGATTTACTCAGGTTACTAACCATAGTATTGACACCGGAGATTCAATGCCAGTTCGCCACAAAAGCATACCGGTATGATAAGAATAAGGAAAAAATTATAGAATGGCATATCACCGATATGCTACGTAAAAAGATCATAACGCCCATCTCAAGTAGTTATGCTAGCCCGGTGGTTTTATGTAAGAAAAATAATGACTATCCTTTGACACATCCAAAAAGGTGGAGATTCGCAATTGATTACCGTAAATTAAACTCCATAACTAAATATCCGGTATATCCGTTACCTATTATTGAAGAAATTCTAAGGAACATAACATCCACCAAATATATGACGACTTTAGACTTAACGACTGGTTATTTTCAAATAGGGGTTAGGCCTGAGGACGTGCCTAAGACTGCTTTTATAACCAAGTCTGGCACTTATGCATTTTTGCGTATGCCGTTTGGCCTTTCAGGGGCACCGGCAACATTTCAGCGATGTATGGACATTGTGTTAAGGACCTGTTCTTGGAAAGTCCACATTTATCTATTTAGACGATATCATTATTACTAGTGATAATCTCGACCAACATGTACAGGATTTAAGACAGGTGTTTTCTTTATTAAATGAGGCCGGTCTAAAAGTTAATGTCGAAAAGTGCAAATTTGCAGCCCCTGAATTAAAATATTTAGGTTACAAAATATCTCAGAAAGGAATCGAGACAGACGAATCAAAAATAATCGCTGTACAAAAGTATCCGACTCCAAACACGGCGAAGAAGCTCTCTTCTTTTCTAGGACTTTGTTCATATTATAGGTCCTTTATAAAAGATTTTGCAGCTATTCGCTGAAGCCATTGTTAAAATTAAAAAGGAAAAAGGCAAGATTCTCGTGGACGGCCGAAGCCAATAGTGCTTTCGAAAAATTAAAACAAGCATTAACGCAAGCCCCTGTGTTGAAATTTCCTGAAAAGGATGAGAATTTAGAAATTTCAGCGGATGCTTCGGATTATGCGGTAGGAGCGGTACTTTCGCAAAATCAGCAGCCCGTGGCATTTTTTAGCCGAACTTTAAATCAAACACAAAGAAACTATTCCGCGACCGAGAGAGAGGCACTTGCAGTTCTGTTAGCAGTGCAAAAGTTCCGAGTCTATTTTGGAAAGGCGCCAATAACAGTGTACTCTGATCATGCGGCGGTAACTAGATTGTACTCAGGGAAAAACTTATCCCCAAGGTTAATAAGATGGGCACTCAAGCTACAAGAATATAATCTGGTAATCAAGCATACCCCCGGAAAGGAAAATATCGTAGCAGATGCCCTATCCAGAATTAAAATAGATGAAGAAGGTAATACTGTAAAGGTGGCAATGCTCACAGCATGTACAATAAATTCCCGAGAAACTGTAATAACCGAACTGGGTAAGGATCCTGAGTTTGGAAGCATTTATGAGTATTTAAAGGATCCTGAAAATTTTAGCCACCAAGATATTGTGGCGATAAGAAATAGGGCGGCCCATTACGAACTAATAGATGGTCTATTATTTTATACAAAAACTACGAATTCCAACAACGAATTTCGACCTGTTATCCCAGCTAGTCTTAGATTAAATATCCTGCAGGAGCTCCATGACAGCCCTTTAGCTTCTCATGCTGGTATTCGAAAAACTATCCAACGCGTACGCGAGGCAGTCTATTTTCCTGAACTGCAAAAGTTAACAAGGGCGTATGTCCAGTCCTGCCCAACATGTCAAGCAGTTAATTATATTAATTTCCGCCCGGCCGGGTTTCTAAATAGTATTAAATCCGAATTTCCAAATGAAATAATTGGCATCGATTTATTGGGCCCTTTCCCAAAAAGTCAGTTAAATAAAAGTCGCTATCTCCTTGTTATGGTTGATCATTTTAGTAAATGGACCGAAATTGTTCCCTTAAAACGAGCCTCCGCGAAATTAGTTACTGATTCTATTTTAAATAAATATATTTTAAAATACGGGGCGCCCCTAAAAGTTATATCGGATAATGGTCCTCAATTTGTAAGTAATGTATTTGAAGACATGTGCCAAAAACTGGGCATACGTCATTTAAAAATGGTCCCGTATCGGCCGCAATCAAATATAGCGGAACGGGTCAATAGAAATATAGTGAAAATTATCCGTAGTTATGTTAAAAATTTTCATAAAAGCTGGGATAACTATGTCAATGAATTTGCTTTCGCCCTTAGGACCGCAAAACATGATACAACGGGCAAAACTCCTGCTGAGTTATTTTTAGGCAGAAAGATTATAACGCCGTTAGATAAATTATTTTATGTGCAACAAAGAGCCCCAGAATTTAAAATGGGTGATATAGAAAAACTAATTAAAGAAGCAAAAAAGAATACTGAAGTAGCACAGAGAAAACAAAAGCTATTATGACTTGAAACGACGGGGAGTAACTTATAAAGTAGGGGATGAAGTGTTAAAAATTAAGCATTCACTTTCTTCAGCACCAGAAGATAAAACTGCCAAATTTTTTCCACGATTTGAAGGACCATATGTTATAGAAAAAATAACTCACGCTGTAGTAGTGTTAAAAGCGAGAAATGGTGAAACCTGCTCCGCAAACATTGATCAAATCAAACCCTACTATGATCGTAATAAAATGCAAATTTTTCAGATCTTTTGCAGGA